ACCCCCCTCCCCCGCCCCCCGAGTGCACAAATTTTTGTGCACCGGGCCTCTAGTGGAAATATAAAAGACCAAAACTTTTGGCAGTTATTGGTGACCAGATCAGCAGGGGAGGGCAGTTGGGGGCCATCACGCTGGCAGGGGAGGGCAGTTGGGGGCGACCAGGCCAGCAGGAGAGGGCATTTGGGAGTGACCAGGCCTGCAGGGCGGGGCAGTTGGGGGCGATCAGGCTGGCAGGGGAGGGCAGTTGGGGGCAATCGGGTCAGCAGGGGAGGGCAGTTAGGGGTGATTGGGCTGGCAGGGGAGCGGTTAGGGGGTGATCAGGCAGGCAGGCAGGCAGGCAGGCAAACGATTAGGAGCCAGCAGTCCCAGATTGTGAGAGGGATGTCTGACTGCCGGTTTAGGCCTGATCACACAGGGATTGAGCCTAAACCGGCAGCAGACATTGCCCAAGGGGTCCCAGATTGGAGAGGGTGCAGGCCGGGCTGAGGGACATCCTCCCTCCCTGTGCATGAATTTTGTGCACTGGGCCTCTAGTAATTGTATAAGTGTGCCTGTGGAGGAGAGGGGTGGGAACCTGTCTGCAGGTGGAAAGGATGGTTTAGGGTAGGAGAATGCAGAGCTCTTCCCTGGCCTGCGAGGAAAGGCAGCTAAGTGAGCACAGAGGCAGTTTGGCTGATAGATTTGGTGTTGGGAGATGGGGACATTCTCAGGAGGGCAGCATCTGAGAGTGATAAAAGTGTGAGGAGCGGGTTTCAGGAGAGAGATGGAGTGAAATGTTTCCCTTGGAGATTGAGAGGGTAGTTATGGAAAAGGTACCTGATGACGCAGCAGAGCTAAGTGGATACTTGTAGTCTGTGGACATAGATTGAAAGTGAAACCATTGGTTGTGTGTTGCTCTCTGGTTACACTCAGCTCCCTGGAAACAGGCATGGAGTTAATGGAGAGTTGGACTCAACCAGGGCAAAAGACTTGAACAGACACTTCACCAAAGGAAATACATGGAAGGCAAATAAATATATGAAATATGTTTTGTACCCCTAGCCATTAGGGAAATACAAAATTAAAACCACGATGAGATTCTATTACACACTCCTTAGCATGGCTAAAATGAAAAAATACCAATTCCTTCAGATATTGACAAGGCTTTAGGAAAACTGGATCTCTCATAGATTGCTGGTTGGAAAGTAAAATGGTATGCCCATGCTGAAAAACTATGCATTTTCTTACAAATTTGGACATATAGTTACCATATAAAACAGCAATTATTCCTGGCATTTATTTTAGAGAATGGTAAACTTATGTTCACATGAAAACCTCTATACAGATGTTCATAGCAATTTTATTTATAATAATCAAACTGGAAACAAATCAAATGTCCTTCCACTTGTGAATAGTGAAACAAAATGTAATGCATCCATACTAAAGAATACGACACAGCAATTTTAAAAACGAACAACAAACTATTGATTCGTGCAACAACTTGGATGGATCTTGAGGTCATTGTGCTGAATGAAAAAAGTCAAACTCAAAGGCTGAATACTGTATGATTCCATTTATACAACATTTTGAAATGACAAAATTATAGAGATGGAGAAGAGATCAGTGGTTGCCAAGAGTTTTGAAGGGGCACAGGTTGGGTGTGTCTACAAAGAGTTGCCCAAGAGGATTCTTTTTTTTCTTTTTCTTTTTTTTTATTGCTTAAAGTATTGCAAAGAGTATTACATATGTCTCTTTTTTTTCCCCCGCCCTTGACAATCCCCCGACCTCCCCTACTCCCCAGTGTCTTATGTCCATTGGTTATGCTTATATGCATGCATACAAGTCCTTCGGTTGATCTCTTACCCCCCTCCCTTCTGCCCCCCAACCCTCTCTGGCCTTCCCACTGCAGTTTGACAATCAGTTTGAGGCAGCTCTGCCTCTGTATCTATTATTGTTCAAAAGTTTGTAATGGTCTTTATTATCCATGAATGAGTGAGATCATGTGGTATTTTTCCTTCATTGACTGGCTTATTTCACTTAGCATAATGCTCTCCAGCTCCATCCATGCCGTTGCAAATTGTAAGAGTTCCTTCTTTTTTACAGCAGCATAGTATTCCATCGTGTAGATGTACCACAGTTTTCTAATCCATTCATCTACTGATGGGCACTTAGGCTGTTTCCAGATCTTAGCTATGGTGAATTGTGCTGCTATGAACATATGGGTGCATATATCCTTTCTGATTGGTGTTTTTGGTTTCTTGGGATATATTCCTAGAAGTGGGATCACAGGGTCAAATGGGAGTTCCATTTCCAGTTTTTTGAGGAAACTCCATACTGTCTTCCATAGTGGCTGCACCAGTCTGCATTCCCACCAGCAGTGCAGGAGGGTTCCTTTTTCTCCACATCCTCTCCAGCACTTGTCGTTTGTTGATTTGTTGATGATAGCCATTCTGACAGGTGTGAGATGGTACCCCAAGAGGATTCTTTTGTGACAAAGAAACAGTTCCAAATCTTGAATGTGGCTGTCATTACATGAATCTATACGTGTGATAAAATGTCCTAGAATTATGCACAATAAAAATGTGTGCATGTGAAACTGGGTGAGATCTGAGTAAGATGTGTAGTGTGAATAATTGTATCCTACCCAGGTCAATTTCTTGGTTTTGAAAATGTTCTGTATTCGTGTAAGATGTCACCATTGACAGAAGCTGGGTGATGAGCAGACAGGAACTCTCTGCAGTAATTTTGCAACTTGTTGTTGGTCTATAATTAATCAGATTGAAAAGTTTGTTGGATTTACTACCTACATGCATATTGCAGTTACCAAGAATGAGAACAAGGTTCATGCTGGAAAGAAGATTGTAAACTAGGCATGTAGTCCATGAGATAATATAATAAGCATTCACACAACCACCATTAAATTTAAGTATATATTAAAATTTTATCATATTTGCTTCCAATATCTCTTTAAAAACGAATAAATAAAATTTTGCAGTCATAGCTAAAGGCCTAACTTTCACTCACTGATCTCTTCAGAGCTTCTGAAGTTGATATGCATTATTTTCTCACATGTATAACAGGATGTTAAAACAGCTCAGATCTAAATGTCAAGATACTATAGATACATTTCAAAAGAGGTAGGAGATATCATGCAGAATTTAAATATGAGATTTCTGATAACCGGTTACCAACTCTTATGCCATCATCCATATCAAAGCTGTAAACAAGTAGAGTTGAAGTTTTATATGAGGCATAAAACATTGAGTTTAATTGAAAGATGAACCATCTCTCCTGCTCCAATGTGGCCTTTTGCTGGCAAAAAGACTGTAGTCCAGAAGAGGGTGCATTCTTTTGTTTCTCGCTTCCCACTTCCCCCAACCCTTGTCCTTGTTCCACCTGCTTGTTGTTTCTAGATGTGGTTTCAGACCCTGTAGGGTTGAACATATCGTAGAGTCAGTGTCAGGAGAGCAGGACTTTCCTCTTTGGCTTGTCCTGCTTGGGTGGCCTTGCTGGTGATGTCTGGACTTGACAGTATTGTAGAGTTGACTCTAACTCATTTTGCAAAACTTATGCCAACTTCTGACACTTCAACACCACAAGAGACATGGCTCATTACTCACTGCACTTCAGCCAATGATCCATTAGAAAATATTTTTATTGATTTCAGAGAGAGGAAAGGAGAGGGAGAGAGAAATAGAAACATCAGTGATGAGAGAGAATTATTGATTGGCTGCCTCCTGCATGGCCTCCATGGAGGACCGAGACTCCAACCCGAGCATGTGCCCTGACCAGGAATTGAACTGTGTCCTCCTGGTTCATAGGTCAACACTCAAACACTGAGCTACACGGGCTGGGCTGATCCTTCTTAAGAGAGATCTAGCAACTATGACCATATATTTGGGGTGTCACAGGGAATGAAACTTATTTGCACACTGGTCACCATTTTCTAAACAACCTTTGTACTTTTAGTAACAACTAGAGGCCCAGTGCATGAAATTGGTGCACTGGGGGGGGGGTGTCCCTTAGCCCAGCCTGCACCCTCTGCAATCTGGGAACCCTCAGGGGATGTCTGACCGCCAGCAGTCGGACATCCCTCTCATAATCTGGGACTGCTGGCTCCCAACGGTTGGCTGCCTGCCTGCCTGATTGCTCCTAACTGCTTCTGCCTGCCTGCCTGATCACCTCCTTACCACTACCTGGCCGGTCCAATTGCCCCCAACTGCCCTCCCCTGCCGGCCCGGTTGTCCCCAATTGCCCTTCCCTGCTGGCCTGGTCGTCCCCAACTGCCCTCCCCTACCGGCCCAGTCATCCCCAGTTGCCCTCCCCTGCCCCTAAACTGCCCTCCCCTGCCAGCCTTGTCCCCCAAAACTGCCCTCCCCTATTGGCCTGGTTGCCCCTAACTGCCCTCCCCTACTGGCCTGATCACCCACAATTGCCCTCCTCTGCCCATCTTGTGGCGGTGGGCACCACCATCTTTGAGGGTGTGGCAGTAAATTAGCATATTCCCTCCTTATTGGCTGTGGGTGCCACCATCTTTGTGATGGTATGAGGGTCAATTAGCATATTCCCGCTTTATTAGATAGGATAACACTATAAATTGCCTCTTTTCCCATTTCTATTTTTCCAGCTCCTGTTTATCTTTCCTTGCTTGTCTTAAACGGTTGGTGTGGCTGGCTAATGTGACATAGGGTACTTACTAGTAAAATATAGTTATCAGTTCAAGGCCAAGTATTTCAAGAAGATTTTCCTGATCCACTTATAAAGAAAAAGCATTCAATAAATAAATTCAGAAAATGATTACATGAGAAATTTAATGGTAATGTCAGGAATGGTGGCAAGGCATAATTTTCAGACTAACGAGAAAAACTAGAGCAGCCAGATTAAAAACAGCCTATTTGAAGAGATTGGGGAATCACCAAAGCATTATGAGGTTGAGCCTGAGAGAAGACTAGATACTTTCCAAGCCTGGCAGGGCAGCAGTGAGTCTCAAAGTTTCTTCAGACTGATCAGAACAGAGGCTCTCATCCCTGCCCCAGACTGCTTCCCGACATGTCCAGGGTTTCCCTAGGAAGGCTTTCTCCAGGTTCATCCACCTCAGGAGTGTCCTGAAGAGCCCTCTGGAGAACCAGCCTCAGGGTGTGTCTCTGTTTCCACCATCGCTGCCTGAAGGAGCCAACGAAGAAGTAAATGATGGGGTTGGCACAGCTGTTGATACAGGACAGAAGTACTACCGTCATGAAAACATGAAAGAGGGCACTAAATTTATTTGGAAACCAGACTATGAGGAACCAGTAGATGCCGAAGGGCAGGCCGCAGAGGAGGAATACCAGCACCGTGATCACAACGGTTATGTAGAGCCTGGTGGGCGGCACCCGATGGGAGCCACACAGCAGTCTGGTCATCAGGGCCAGGCTGGACGCAGAGAGAAGCACAAACAATAAAATCAGCCATGCCACAGTGATGAAATCCAACTCTGAACACCAAAAATAATGCACAATCCAACTCAGGAAGCCACAGTAGATCTCTCTCAAGAAGATCAGAAGCAGGGACAGGACCCAGAGCAGGGCACACATTATGGCTGACATGTGTCTGGGGCGGCGACAGCGGTACCAGATGGGCCACAGGACAGACAGGCAGCGCTCTGTGCTGATGGCGCTGAGAAAACTCAGGCCTGAGATGTAGGCAAAGGTTGATATAGGCAAGAGAAATCTGTTCGTTACTCTAAAGAAAATTTTGAAGTCGAAAAGAAAAACTAGACTATGTATAAATCGGTAGCAGAGGAAGAGGAAGTCGGCCCCCGCCAGGTTGAGGATGTAGACAGAGAAGGCGTTCCTGCGCATGCGGAAGCCCAGCAGCCAGAGCACCACCGCGTTGCCTGCCAGCCCCACCAGTGCCACGATGATTGTCAGTAATTGCAGGATTATGAACTCTGTGTAATGTTGATAAATGGCCTGATCAATTTCATTGGTTGTTGTGAGGTTGGTCTTCCAGGCTGTGACAGTCATATCCGTGCTCAGAAACGCTGCAGTTGTGGGCCTAGGAACAAAACAAGACTTGAGCACCTGCTCTATAACCACTGACCCTCATGCCACCCTGTCTGTGGTGAATGGAGGCTTCCAGAGATTAAGATTCTT